TAGGCTATTTTCAAAAAAATATCGATTTTATATCTATATTAGCATTCTTCAGCATTTATAATACCTAGATATGTTTTAAAATGCAATTTAAAGCAGTTTTGGTTTTGATCATAGTAGGCTATTTTCAAAAAAATATCGATTTTATATCTATATTAGCATTCTTTATCATTTATAATACCTAGATATGTTTTAAAATGCAATTTAAAGCAGTTTTGGTTTTGATCATAGTAGGCTATTTTCAAAAAAATATCGATTTTATATCTATATTAGCATTCTTTATCATTTATAATACCTAGATATGTTTTAAAATGCGATTTAAAGCATTTTTGGTTTTGATCATAGGAGGCTATTTTCAAAAAAATATCGATTTTATATCTATATTAGCATTCTTTATCATTTATAATACCTAGATATGTTTTAAAATGCGATTTAAAGCATTTTTGGTTTTGATCATAGAAGGCTTGTTTCAAAAAAATATCGATTTTATATCTATATTAGCATTCTTTATCATTTATAATACCTAGATATGTTTTAAAATGCAATTTTAAGCATTTTTGGTTTTGATCATAGGAGGCTTGTTTCAAAAAAATATCGATTTTATATCTATATTAGCATTCTTTATCATTTATAATACCTAGATATGTTTTAAAATGCAATTTTAAGCATTTTTGGTTTTGATCATAGTAGGCTATTTTCAAAAAAATATCGATTTTATATCTATATTAGCATTCTTTATCATTTATAATACCTAGATATGTTTTAAAATGCGATTTAAAGCATTTTTGGTTTTGATCATAGTAGGCTATTTTCAAAAAAATATCGATTTTATATCTATATTAGCATTCTTTACCATTTATAATACCTAGATATGTTTTAAAATGCGATTTAAAGCATTTTTGGTTTTGATCATAGTAGGCTATTTTCAAAAAAATATCGATTTTATATCTATATTAGCATTCTTTATCATTTATAATACCTAGATATGTTTTAAAATGCGATTTAAAGCATTTTTGGTTTTGATCATAGTAGGCTATTTTCAAAAAAATATCGATTTTATATCTATATTAGCAGTCTTTATCATTTATAATACCTAGATATGTTTTAAAATGCGATTTAAAGCATTTTTGGTTTTGATCATAGTAGGCTATTTTCAAAAAAATATCGATTTTATATCTATATTAGCATTCTTAATCATTTATAATACCTCGCACGAGGTACATCGCATACGAGCAGACATCGTAGAGAACTCAGGTTTTTTGTTATTAGCTCCGTTACTATTGTTTATTGTCCGATTGAACAGTTAAAAGTCTTAAAACAGTGTATTTATACTATAATTAATGATTTTTTTCTTTCATAAACAAAACCACGTGATGAGTACGTTTAAAAAATTCAACATTACCTCTATAATTTAAAATTTTTTCTAGGCGTTGTAAAATTTGAATTTCAAAAAACCGTTAAATGATAAACTTTTTTGTATGAAATTTTATTGCAACAAATTATTAATTATACTATAATTGACGTTTTTGTAGTGCAACTTTTAACGGAAATATTTCAAATTATTTATTGACCGTTGAATAATAAAGCCTTTCTATATAAGCACTCTTTATAATTATTTGTTACTTACAATAAAATTAATGATTTTCTAATCTTCTAATGATCTGTAAACGAACGCAAAATAATTAGATAATCAAATACTTATCGCTGCGTCAAAAATGCGCTGAAGTCCCTCGATCAATAATACGAGGACTTTTGTAATTTTTTGAATATTTTTGGGATATGTGGGGTAAATATGATATTTGGGATAGTTTTCACGCCTTGATTTCTTAATAATGAAATGCGTTGTTTTGTAAAAATGTGATAACGAATTATTAAATTTCAAATTCAAATTTTTAAAGCGCGTTATAAGTTTGAAATTTCTGTTAAAAACTTTAAAGTATAAAAAAGCTCTTCATTGGTGAAAATAAAAGAATTCGAATTTTATGTGTAATGTAGCCAAAACCGTCTATTAACTTTTCATGTAATTTCATGATAATTTAATAGAAAAAGGTCACAGCAGCATTTTACTCAACTAAGAATTGAGTAAGACCAAAAAGTATCAGCACGAAAATTAATTAAATCTTCATCGCTAACACAAAACGTCGAATCGTTAAATGACACAATGTGTACAGTAATTTATCACACTTTAAAGATAAAAGTTTTGACAAACATTATATTAAAACTTTTTTTCAAGTTTGTGGTCCTAAAAGTTTAAGGACTGCATTTAAAACTGTTTATCTCTAGCAAAAGAAAATAAAGCAGAGCGAGCTGCTAAAATGAAAACTTTAATATGTAGAAATAATATAATTTCTCATTGTTATTTCTTTTAATCTCCTGGTTTTTATGTTAGACATCCAACACTAAATCGTCTCTATTTTTATCAATATTTTAAGCAGTTTATTATCCATGTTGCTAATTCAAAGAAGTTTGATGCTTAATTTTTAAGTGGATACTCAACTTGCTCATGAATTTATTTAAAACTGTTTGTAAAAGAATAATTGAACGAAAAAAAAAAAAATCAATAACCATCTAATAATTCTCTGTAGGATCTAAAACTCCTATTATACTGTACATTAACTTTTTTCTATCCACGAGCTGAAAAGAATTTAAAAATTCATTATCCACTTGAAAAGAAAATTATTTTAAACCTTTCGTGTAATCATTTTTACGTCTGCTTTAATTTGTATCTTCTTTTTATCTTAAATGTTCGCAAAAAAATAATTCTTTGATCTATTTATTTGCCCTTTTTCCTTTATTCCCAATTTAATTGGAACAGAGTTGGTTTAAATAGATTAACCACTGTGATTGATCTTAAAATCGATTTGTGTGTTATGGTGACCATAACTTATAATTTTAATTCAGGAAGATAAACCTACACATTTTCCAATCCTACATCCCTGCCATGAAAAGTATTCAATCGGTTATTTTTATTAAAAATATATTATATATTCTCTATCTCAATTGACATCATTTCGATTGATATTTCAACAACTGTATCAATTCTCAAGATCAAACAGAATTAAACTATCAATAAGTTGCTTCATTCATTCATGAACATGCTTCACAAATGCCATCGGAGTTATTGATTGTAATATGAATTCAAATTGAATTAGAATAAAAGAGGAAAAGTTAAAAGTGAATGGATCAAAAATTATATTTTTCAACATCAATCGAGAATTGTGAAATGAGATGAAAGAATTTTTGAGGATGGCATGTACGTAAAAGAATAAATATTTGTGATTACTATGAATGGTAATTAAGGGAGTTAAAAAGGTAAGTAAAGGTTCGTACTAACGGTTCTTATCTTATTTTTAAATCTGCTAGAGAAGATCTAGATGTATGCCTATCAGAAAATTTGAGTCTAATATGGTGTCATTTATAGATTCAGAAAATAAAAGTTGATGTCTACATCGAAAATAATTTTTAACGGACTTGAGACAAGGTTTTAACAGATTATAATCTTTAAATAATCTCCATATGAAGATTTTAATCTTCCATCCAAGAGAAGATAAGATTATTGCAAACCAATGATCAAAGTTATCCATGAAAAATGGAAAACAAATAAAAATCAGTCGATATATTTGCAGAGAAAAGAAAAGTTGTAAGTATTCAATTCATTTAAATAAAAAAATTGGATTATTAAACAATTATAATCTACGAGAGACTGCAGATGTGAATTTACCTAGTACCTTCAGCATTAAGTATTAATAATAGATTTAATTAGTCATGCGAATATTTACTTTGACCTGATTAAAGTTAAATGAAATTTAATCAACTCACTGCAAACACAATAACACTCTTGAATTATTTACTGAGAAAATAGAGAAAGCTAATTGAATAATTATGTGTTGCTTGAGTGAAAGTCACATTAATTAATGCTGTTCGATTTCAATAATTATTTCATACATTATTTCGAACGTTTTCTAATGAGAACTTTTCGATTGTTTGAATTTCTATAGAACATTTTAATACAATAAGCATCGCTTTGAGTGATTGTTGATTCTTAAGTTTCACTTGTACACAGTTTATTATACTTAAAAAAATTGTTTTTACCTTTCGTTGGTTTTAGACGATGGAAAAATTATGTTAGACAATTTTTACGTGAATGCTATGCTCTTATAGCAACAAGAACAACTGTGAATTATTAAAAAGTTTTACCTTTCAAAATAGAAATGTTCACGTGAAAAACATTCGGATTCAGCTACCTTTTTAATTTTTTATTAAAAGATTTATGAACACTTATTACTTAAAGCTATTTATAAGGATTCATGTCGTGGATGTAATTCGAGTTTAAACTGTAAAAATATTGTATTAAAAATTTGTTTTGAATTTTTTAATCCTTAGATCCTTAAGGTTCGGAAAATTCCTTAATCACCAAAATTTCATGGTAGTCAACGAAGTTTAGTTATCAATGAATTAGTCTTCTTATTTCTGAGATTTCTTTGCTTTCTTATTTTGTTTTTCATCAGCAAATTCGCTGTACAAAATGACGAACGATTTCCTTAAAATTTTGTGTAAGCTCATAAGCACATAAATGAAGAAAAATTCTCAAAATGCACAGAATTAATTTAATACGCAAAAGAAATTCATTGAATTATTTTCTCATTTACCTCGAATAATTTTTTTACTGAAATTAAAATAAATTCTACGCAATTCTACGTCATCTTGATTCTTTTAAATATCAAATTACATGTAGATTACAGTTATTTATCTAACATTATGTATATTGTGATATGAAGCGCAGAAACGTAGCAATAACATATGTTGAATATTTTATGTTGAATTCTGCAATACATCTTTATATGAAAACGGTAAAATAAAAGAATAAGAATCTTTAAAAGAACGAAAGCATCTGCGGAAAGAAAAATTAATTAGTAATTTATTCCATATGCATGAGATGCAAAAGAAAACGTTGAATAATTTTCATAAGATTGTATTAATATGTTGCGAAAATAATTTTAGAGTGCGCTTATATGATTGAAGCTTTACATAACACCTGTTGTTGCTCATTTTTATTCTACATCATATGGCATCATATAAATAAATACTTCAAGGTAAGTACATAAAACTCACATTTCTAATACGAAAGAAACGTGCTTTTTGTACTCAATTCCGTCATGTGTCTACTTGAAGATGTTAGAGTTACAAAAGTATCCTTCAATATCAAGTTTGAATTAGATTATACATAAAGATTATGTGCATCATTTTGTTATATAAAGATGGAAGGTTTTCTAAAGTTTGTAAAGTTATTTTTTGTTCGATACTGACTTTTGCAACTATTTGTTAAGTTAAAATACATTAATGAGTCCTTGTGACTTTGAAGGTTAATGTTTAAGTAGTTCTGTATCTTAAATCCTGAGAAGAAGATATAAATATGATTTTTTTTGCAAGTTATAAATCAAAAGTTAATGACAATGTCCAGAGTGAAAAATTTGATATTATGTCTGGTTAAAACAACAGAAAACATGTCAAGTCTCACTCAGATGCTCAGTTATGCATTGGTTCTTTAACACTTGCTGTGACAAAGCAATAAAACGATCATAATTCAATTTAAATAAAAATTCAATTATTGATGTTTTAAAGCTTTTTGCTGATACGTTAGAGCAACAAAAATCATTCAGTCAAAACGTAAGTGATTTTTATGCTATTCTGGCCATTTAAATTGAAAAAAAGTCCCAAATTGAAAGCTTATTCATCAGTATCGAAGTATAATTGCTTCCAAAACAACGGTTTTATCATTTTTCTCGCTTGATATCATTTAAACTTTTCTTCTTTATTGAACTTATTGTTACAAAAAAAATTCTGATGCTGTCTTGCATAATTATGAAATTAATATCTCTTTTCATATTTCAATAGAGCTCACTTTTTTTAAGTTTTTTTGTAATGTAAAAAGATTCAAAATGAAAAAAAAAGTTCTGCTGTTTCTGTCTTCAATTTATTGAGAAAAATGATATAAAATACAAAGTTGTTGTAAGATTCTTAAAAATTCAAGCATAATAAAAGTTAAATGCAATTCTCCAACTTTGTAATCAGAAGTTCTTAGAAAGTATTGATTGACAGTAGAAAACTCATGAATAACTTGTAGTCATGATAGAATTTGAGCGCATTTTTAAAAGATGACATAAAATTCAGACAATTGACAATCATCTATATAACATAACAACCTTTCGAGAAAATCTGCTTCTCATAAAATTGAAGGACAGTTAACAACAAAATTTCTATTAACCTTTCAATGAAATTATGAAAAGAAAATTTTTCTCTGCAGGATAAAGATTCAAGTAGCCAAAGCTATTCAACTAAAAGCTATTTTAAGAAAACTGTATCCTTCACAGCATTATCCCGAATGAAACATATGATAATGTTTAAGTGCTATGGTGTTATAGAGAACTAAAGTTCAATCAGATGTGAAATGATTGAGTTTGGTCAAAATAAGGAAGAAAAGTTTTTGTTAAAATTCCATTCCCAGAAGATGATTTGTCGTATGAGAAAAGTCCTGTGTCATGAAAATAAAGAAGATGTGATCGAATTCTTGATCTTAAGGAGTCGTTCACAAATTAATGATTCCTCAAAAAATCAGTCCCAATATTTTTTTTAAATAGAAATATTTGGATTGTTGTGTTATTTTTTCCCTTATAGTCACGATTCAGGATCGTGAGGATGCATTATTATTTTAATTAATAAGCTTCACGTTTCAGTTTCCTTTTGGCCTAGCCCAACAAATTATATTCAGATTTTATCACAAACAATGCTCTTTTGTTCCGTGAATATAGATCGAAATATTATTTAACAGATATAAAATTCATTATTGAAAAATGCTATAGGCGTGGGATGTTTACGACATAACAGAATGCTGCGTAAAAATTTATGAAAAAAAGAAAATTGGATCAATGAAGTGTGAACTTTTTATGGTAAAATATGAATGAAATAATTTTAATAAATTAATGACGTAATAATTATTCGTATAATATCCATATCCAATCTTTAATGAAGCATTTCGAATTTAACATAAATTTATTGTTATTGACGTAATTACAAATGAAAATAAATCATGAAATTATAATTTTTCTTGTAGGCAGATGAATAAGTTTTTCTTTGACATTAAGCAATGTGTTAAATATATAATCTTATTCTGTCTTAGTCAACTAATAGCATATAATTATGCTTAAAACTATTATTTAGTGTCAACAATGCATCTAATTATTGTAAAGACTTACAATTATTGAAACTTAAAAAGGATTTAATGAAATATTGAAATTGTTCCATAGCAAATCTAATAATATCCTATCCGACTTTTCTATTCAAAGTTATGTTAAAAACGATTCTTAAACAACTTCTTAAACAAGCACATTCCATTGATCAACATTTATGCTTAGATTAAGCCTTCCATTTTATTCAAACACAATAGATTAATTTTAATTCTCAATGACAAATTATTCAAGATATTCTCAGATCTTCTATTGATTGATTTTATTTTAATCCTTTGAAAATTTATTAGAGCATAAGTAATTGAAATTTAAATTCAAATTTGATTCACTTTAGATGAGTGTTTAAAATATTTGTTGTGTGAGCATGCATATGTCAATGCCAATTTTATCTATTTTGCAGAAGCGCTTTAGTAATGAATTAGAGAAAATTGCAAGATTCTTCAATTTTGATCTGGATATTATCTCTTGATTTTTATACTTAGTGTAAATCTTGGTTAGTCTGCAGATACCTGTTTAGGCGTTAGTCTTCACTTGATTCCAAAAATTAAAAATCACTACATATATAAAATGAAACCATTTGCATCCTTTGCAATATGTTACAGAAATAAAATAGTTCCGCTGCAAAGCACTTGAATGAATGTAAGCAGAATGACTCGTTTTCATAAACATATCTTGTCTTCTTTTCCTTTCAATTTGCATTTCCATGGAAAAGAAAGTATGAAGGACAAGAGAGACGAGATGCTATAAAATATAACGAATCGTCTCAAATAAATTGTTTCCTTCCATCTACTCACTTTAAATGTCTGAATGTATTTACCTTTCATTTATAATATCATAAAGTACGTAACAACCTTTATTCATGTAAACTAGCTACATATCATATGTAAGGTAGCATATGATATGTGTGCACTTGTGTTTCATTTGAATTTAGAATAAGACCACTTACTTATTATTCCAAACTTTTAAAGATTTACTCGAGCTATGGAAAATGTGAAAGGAAATTTTATATTTTTTAAGTTTTATACAGAACAGAAATTTATTCATAGAACTCGCATTATTTGCTTAGTTATTTTATTTATAAACTTATGTAGCAACAACACAAGTGGTCCTTCCCAAAAGCATATGATGAATGAAAAAATCAATGTAAATATTTAAGGGCCCTCATCCTGCCCTTATCACATCACTTCAAAATTCCTCGTGCTGAAAAGCTTTTTTCTATCAAATAAAATAAAATTTTCTTCATTTTTGAGCTGTTTTTATCGCACATAGTTTTTACAACATGAGTAATGTACTTCAAAAAGGTTAATTAGATAACAGATTCACTCATTTAGATAATTTCTAGTTTTATGAACTGATTTTTTTAAAAGTGTACGAAAACGTGTCATGGACAATTCAAACTTCCATTTATAAATTTTACAGCTTTCAAGTTTGGGGTCTTTCGCTTATTACGTAGCTCCATAAAAGACTTTTTGACATCCCTTTGACAAAGATTTGTATGAAGAATATTTTATTTGTATGAACCGTCACAAAATCTCAGAACGATCCCTATGTGTATGAATGAATTCTTTAACTTAAACTTTTAAGCACAAATTAATTAAATACCTAACAAATAGAATCCTTAGTATTACATGAAGCAAGAAATCAGGAAAAATATTTTATGACATTCAATATCTTTTTATTCTTCACTGAACCTTTTCAATTTTCTTTTTAAGTACTTGGTAATTGCTCTTATGATAATTGGATACAGAATTCGTTCTTAATTTAATATACCTTTTCCTCTATGTTAAGTATTTCTTATTTAATGGGTGCCGATGGTTCTTATTCTTCGAAAATGGTCCTTATTCTTCGAAATCGAAAATTCGAATTTGAATTTTTTTCAAAAAATGAAATTCCGTTAAAAATATTTCATCAAAAAATTATATTTGTTTACATCAGTAAAATTTTGATTAATTTTCATTAATTATGGGTAAAACCTGCAAAATTGCAAGCTGCAACAAAAATAAAACAATTACAAATCTTTTTAAAGTACCTAAGCACTCATTAAACAAAGATAAATGGTTGTTATTTTTAAAATCAAACAACATAAGTGTCGACGGAAGTGAGATTTCTGCTGTAAGTGATTGTAACACATTCAAGACAAAATTTTCAGATATTGTTCTTAGTCAGGTTGAAATTCCATTTGAGCATTGTTCAAAGACTATTGAAAATTTAATATTATTTTTTGTAACTTTTCGATCAAAACTTGAGCTTCATTGTCGATTGTTACATTCAAAAAACAAATTTGCGTCGAAGAATTGATTTTTGTTCATAAATAAATTTAACGGTCTTTAATATTTCAAAATTTTTTATAAAAAATTATTTTTCGAATTTTTTCGAAACAGGTTTGAATTTTAGAAAAAATAACGGTCTACATTGTTCTAGGCACCCATTGGCTTATTTGACTTCTAGGAAATTTTATATACATAGAATTAGATAATTTGAATATCAAGTCAAATAGTGCTTAAATTATGCTCTACAACATAAAAATTTGGCCCTTACTATTGCTCGTTTTTTTGATTGGAAGGACATCATCTTTTCAAATATAGCAACTTATTGAAATTAAACACCATTTGGATTTCCGTGAAAAAATTATCTAGATAAGTTCTATCAAGGATTTAGGCAAAACCAGCTCAAGAATTAATTCAACATGGATGAATTAATTTTATACATCCTAAAGTAACTTTTCAAAAGCTTAATAAAACAGCAATAAACATAATTTCAAAATTCACATTCGTATTTAAAATTCAAAAACTTTTAGCTCCTGAAAATCAACAAAAATTCATTTTGCATTTTGTAAGCTTACAAAGTATAAATTAATTAAAATTTCAAAACTAGTTGGTGAGTCAACCATAAAATTTAATAAAAGCTAACGAGCAGTTGAAAATTGAGAAATGAAAACACTTCAATGATTAAAACTAGTTACATCAAACGAAGGAGAAAACGAGATTTTCTAGACGCATTCGCTTCCACATTTATGGATGTGCATGCAAGTATGTATCTCCTTACAATTTGCTACTTTAACAACAAAGTTTTATAACTAACACTTTTTTATTCGTTCATAAAAATGTATTTTCATTCATTTATGTTTCTCTATTTCTCGCTCATGCGAAGACGTAAAATCAACAAATTCTCGAGACTATTAATTGAAATAAAATAAAACTCGAAAACTTTGTAGTAAAATATTTATTGACAATAAATGCCAATTAAAACGCTTGATGGAATTGGCAATTTATTTCCATTTTTGTGCTTGCTATTTCTATTTTTGGCATCATTTGCATTACTAATGCATATGAGACTCGATAAACATATCGAAAGTCAACCACAGCTCTACAGCACTGCAAACAAAGAGTAAAAGTCCTTTGAAAATGTTTATAATAAAGAATATGAAAGCAATCGATAGGATATGAAGAGCTAAAGACTATAAAAATCCCTTTGATGTCAACAATGAATGAAAAAATGCTTAGCAAGTTTAACAGTTTAAAATTTTGTAGGCGCACATTAGTCGTATTAAAAAAACGTTTATTGCTGTGAGGCACTTTGAGGTCATACTTTTAGAGTCAGCATACCATCAAACCAGTCATCAAAATCTCATGTCTTAAAGAATGGAAAAACGCTAATAATTGACACTAATTCAAAATGACAGTTCCAAAATCAAATTCTCAGATTTAGATCCAAAAATTAAAGACCAGTCTGACAGCTTCATTTGCTGATCAATGAGAAAAAATTCTGAATGATGTCTATAAAAAATCCCACAATAGTTTAGACATCCCAAATGAATCTAATAACTCATGCGCTACTGAAAAAATGAAAACGTTAGCAAAAAAGGGAAATTAGTCACAAACTGTGATGCTGATCTGTCATGAATTCTTGGTGATATAGAAATGTTACGACGGAGGAGAAGGTGAAGGTCAATAAAAAGTATCAAACGTAAAGTTTTTAATTGTAACCATTAAGGTTTCAACGTGCAAACTTGCTTGCTTAAATAATCTGCAGTAACAAAAAGCGATTTTAATACGGATAAGTTGCAATGAAAATGCTGTAAAGTTTTTAATTACGAAATTGACGTATTTTTTTTCTCTAGCTCTTTGCAGAGGTTTGTTTGAAGTGAAATTTGAAACTTTAAGTGAGTGACATGTTGTTTCAAGACAAGTAAGAAAGTCACTTGCATGAAATCGAGAGGAACACAAAATTAATAAAAATATGATTTAAAAGTTCCTAGAGGAATTAAAAATGAGTACAAAATCTATTTCTAAGTTCCAAGGGGTATCAAAATTAATTAGGATACATTGATTAGTCCATTAAATTATTGTTTTTGAAGATGTAATAATAATGTGTGCAGGGCCCAGCCTTTCAGCTGGAGGCACTGTGATTCTATTTGGAATTGAAGATGTAATATTGATAAATAAAAAGATGTTAGGAATGCGGTTTACTCACTCAAAAAAACTGAGTTAATTTGATCGATTAACCCTCAAACTATCCTAAATGGCACAGGTTGGTTAATCGATTTCAAATCCGGCGCCAAGCTTGCAAGACC